AAGCTGCAGTAGCAAATTTGCAGGACAAGCTAGTTTGAAATACAAACAGAGGTAATGTCTGGCTTTCATTGGTTTGATTCATAGAATTTTAATGTTCAAAGATTCAAGTTATTTCTGTGACCATTGTGGATCTTTCTTTCATTGGAAGGGTACTAAAGGTACCAACTGGTAGGGTACAAACAATTTTTCCACGTCTGTACATATACAGGATTCACAATTGACAAATAGATAAATAAATACATATAATAAATAAATAATTAGGATAAATGGCAGGTAAGAGTTAAACAGTTGTATCTGTCTTACATCATTCTCTTTTTGCCTCAGCAGATTGACGTGTTGAGCCAAGGGCCATTTTGTCTCAGCAGGTCTGAACACTATATCTCAGTCAGAAACTGTCAGAGTGGGAGATGAGAAAGTCCCGAGGAGGCCTAGTGTCTGGCCATCCCGTGGGCTTCTGCCACACTCTTATATTTACCTTCTGGGATGCTAACCTACTCCCCATTTGGACCATAATCTATTGCTGTCGCTACACAGAATGAAGGATGACAAATCCCTGTTGCATCTAAAAGGGATTGAGTGTTTTTTTTCTCCCCTCATCCCCTCCAACAATATCAAAATTAATAACATTTTTTTATGTCTTCCTAGAGGCTAATTCAGCACAAATAAGAGAAATAATTAAGAATCAAACACTAATTTGGGCACAATTTTTGTAGCCTGGCCTGCCAGACTCATCCACTGTCTTTTCTACACAGAGGACGAGTCTGGATACTCAGAGGCAGAGAGACACATGAGAGGCAGGACTAGCCAGCTCAAAAATAACCAATAAAAAAATAAGGCGGAAATGACGACTGTTGCTCAAAGCTGTAGATTCTTTGCTGATGTCAAAAAAGTCTTGTGGCAACAGCAAAACATCTTTCTTTAAAAGGAAGGCTTTTAGCACTTGTTGTTATTGTGGTTTTAAAGACATGTCCAAGTCATTTAGAACAGAGGAAAGAGCTGCAGCAAACTTCGCTTCAGACGCCATCTTTGTTGTTTATGAGAAACTGAGCATCGCGGTGTGTGACGTACGCTGCTCTGCGCTGATTGACTCAATAAAAATTCTCAGGGGGTGGTGTTTGAATGGGAGCGTCACCAGGCCCTTTGCTTCCCATAAGGAAGCATTGACCACTAAGCTGACAATTTGTGTGAACTAGTTTCTATATACATAACTGTAGCTTTTGCAATAGCACAATCAATTTTACAGGAAAAATATGCTCAGAAATAAAATAATTTAAGCATTTGTTCATTTGTTATAGCAGGATTTCTGTCAGATCAGGTTTAGAAGATTGCATGTGCAGTTCCAGCAGCTACTCTCTCCTATTTTTTCTCATCCTTGTTCACTGTGCAGCAGCAACACAGCTTGTCCTTTCATAGCTGGGAGACTAAGGATGCAGACAAAATAGGCTTTAATCAATTAGTACAAAACGTGTCTGGCAGGGTTCTCTATTTTCAGTCTCCCCATGTCTCCTCTCTTCATATTCACTTGTTTATTTGATGGATGGAAAAAGGCACTAACCACTTCGATATTTTATGCCTTTTGCTCGCTGCCGTATTACCTTCGGAGTGAGGTGGGTTTTCTGAATGCTGATGGTGACTGTGAGTCTGTACGATATTTGCTTGTCTAATTTCAAAAGAAGCTAAAGCTGAAAGGGAGCAAAGCTGAAGAGAAATCAGGAAAAAGACCCAGAACATATCTCCAGATGGTAAAACCCATCACATTAGTGTGATGATTTACACTAAAATTGGTCTGTCAGCATTCACTAAGTCTGATCAACTGGCTATAAATTAAAGTCTCTCTTTGTTGTATTTCTGCTGCGGGAAGCTGAAACTGAATCATAACATTAACTGTTTTCTCATATATTATTAAAGGAGCAACATGTCAGAATCTGCAGTGAAATAATCACAAAACTCAAAAGTCTCAAACACGTTGGAAGGAAGGTAGTACTGAAATAGATTTCATTGTCAGTCGACTGGCAGGTTGCCAGTTTTTCTCCTTTCAAACGAAGCAAAAGGTGGAAGTATTTACTGTTTACACTCTGCTAGTTTGTGAGGTTACAAATTTTGCGCCAAGCTAACGCTGCCGCTCCGGCATTTATAATTTGTCACTGACAGGCAGTGTTCCAGAGTTGTTTAAAGAACTAAAGCCAGTAAACAGGAGCGACCCAGAAGTAATTTCTTGTACTCCTAAGAAGCCATGGCATCTTTAAGATTTACTCAATCAGGTGAAGCAGGCTAGAGGCTAACGATGAGCTAACAATGCTAATGGTGAATTAGAATCAAATATTCCACTCTAAAAAATATCTCAAGCTACATTTTAAACTACCAACAACACTATATTACAGTGAAATGTACGTGTGAAATGAATAATGACTCAATTGAGGCGTTTTACTTCCTTTAATGTGTCACTCAGAACTATAACAGCAAGACAGCAAACAACCACACTTCTAACGTCCGAGGGACGAAGTGTTTCCTACCGTAAAACACCCAAGAATGCTAGCACTAGATAGGATGATGTAATCCCAACTTGCCAAATGTGAGACAGAGAGTACTCATTGTGTATTTTGCCTTTTAGCTCTAACATCACTGCTAAATATATAACAAATTATTATTATCACCACGTTTTTCACATAGCCTACTATATCTTCTATTTTAATTCTACTTAAACAAACAAATAGCAAAATCTTTAAGACTGTTTCACCGTTTCAGTTAAGTTACCGCAGCTTAACTCAGGCTCCTTGGGCCTTCTACAGTGACTCTGAATAACTTAAAACTAACATGAATTTAAACCATCAACTGAGTTTATAAATATAGACAGGCCAACAATAGAAAACGCAGGTTTAAGTAGCTTTTCAGAATATTTTGAACATGTCTCACAACAGAATAACAGTACTAGTAACATTTTTAATTCTATTTGTTTATTTTAAATACATTTTACACTAAAATCAACATCCGAAAGAAAAGAAACATCACTTTTTCTGCCATTTTTTCTTCATTTAGAAACAAAATGGTGTTTATTTAAAAAAAAAGACAACAAATCTCTCATAGTAGATTTTTAGAGGAGAGAGAAAAAAACATCACTGACTTAATTTGACTTTACTGTGTTGGTTATCCAATTTAACTATTTTGTTCCGCTGACATTCTGCCCCACTGATACTTTCAGTGTGAAACCGGGGTCAGTGATAGATGTTTACATTTAATTATCTCATTATTTCTTTGCGCTATAAAAGAGTTCAGCTTGTATACATCTAAAACAGCACAACCCCAACACCGTGTCTGTGTTAGAGCCTCATTTGGCTTTTAGCACAAACCTGTCTAATTACTGGGAAACCTGCTTTTGACCAACATATTTTGTGTGACTCAAACTTTCTGCTCCACTTCATTTCGGGCTCCGTGTCGTGACATGAAAAAATGCCTCTGAGAAACATCACAGAGACTGTCAGAGGCTTTATTCTGACAGCATTTTCTCCACAGTGCTCATCTATCCTCTGTGCTCACTGACGCTTCTACTTTGGTTTGTGTGCACGCTCCACACGCCAATCTGCGTTAGTGTCCCACCCCCTTGTTTGACAGCAACAGACAGCTTTCTCCACACAGTTTATGCAAGATTGAAACTCAAAACAGGAGACTGTCAATAATGTGAAACATGCTTCAATATGCGTGTGAAAAGTGATGAAAATTTGGGGCTAACCCCCACAAAACAGGACATCTGGTCACCTTAGAACCAGATATGAATACAGGCCTAGGACGATAACAAATTTTGCTGGACGATGTATTGTCTAACAAATTATTGACAATAAACAACTTTATTATCAAGACCAAAATAACCACTTATATAATGTTAATATGTCATAAGAAAGCAAGTACACCCTTTCAAATGCAACAATTAAGCTTTCGTTTAACATTGGAATGTCCAGAACTCCTAAATAAATAAAACAAACAAACAAAATTAAATAAAAAAGGACTTTAACTCTCTGTTAGAAAATATTGCACCCAAAAAAAATAATAAAAAAAATAAATAGACCCTGTCTCTCCAAAACAACAAATACAATAATAATAATATTGAGGCTGGAAAAATTATTGAGTTCATTTCCATCTATTGTATATGATTAATTGATTTATTGATTATTGTCCCAGCCCTAAATGACAGTGAATTTATCTACTTATCATCTCACTGTGGATGACTCGTTTTTGTCATCTGAAATTTTCTGGTGTTGATCTGTATCTTCACCAGCCATTGAAACTCATGGAACGGTGATGAGAAAGTGATTTTTTGCTTAGTGGAAAATATTGCAGTAAACAAACTTGGTTACTGCACCCATTGGGATTCTTACTTCATTATGACATATTGCACCTTTGAATTATTTTTTTGTCACTTTTACAACAGATTTATAAAATTATGGTAATAATGTAGATGTACTTTTTCAGAAAAAACTAACTGATATTTTGTTGCACTGTTTTTCCTCTTACATATATATAAATGTGCTCTGCCTAGCTTATTTAAAAATTCTGGTTATAAAAGTAAAAGAAAAAAAGCTGTCTTCTAGATTTCATCACAGTGAGCCTCTGCACTTTAGAGAAAAACATGAAACAAAACCATTATCAAAGGTTGCATGGTTAATTTATGCTTTTTGCAACCCTCAACAGTTGAATACAGCTCATGGTGAATAAGCCCACAAGCATAAAAATCTAACAAAATCTTGAATCATTTTCAAACGAATGTCAGAACTTGAAGTCTTTGCAACGTGAGCTGAAATACAGTCTAGTAAAGATGCTGTAATCATTCATCATGCACGCTTCTTCCTGTTCAGCATGCACTGGGAGTAACGTGGGCAGCCCCACATGCAGACTAACACAATCACACGCCATAAATCTATGTTTACAACGTTGTGTTTATCAGTGACCTGCATGCCACTGGGGTCTGAGAGAAGAGAGAAGAGACAGGAAGAAAGTCTTGCACTCACGTGGCTGAGAGGTTGAAGACCTGTTGGGAATCTCCGCTCAAAATATGGTATGTGATCGGATCGTTTTCTCTGTCTGTGGCCTGGGGAGGAATAAAATAACACATGAGGCATACAGTATTATTACAGATAAATGGGGGAAGATGGCAGTTGTATAGGAAGTTGAAGCACTGAAGGAAAACTAACAAGTAGCTGAGGAGGAAACACATTCTGATTGCCTAAACTGTACGTATGCAAACAGTAGCATCAGTAAAATAACACCCCGAGAACACATATTAGTGTCTGACCTGTAAATTGAGCAGGATAGCTCCAACCCTCATCGCCTCGCTGACCTCAAGGTTGTAGGTGGCAAGAGGGAAACGTGGTGGACTCTGGTTGTTGGGAGGCAAAACTTCGATGTAGACTGTAGTGATAGAGCTCCTGGAAAACGGAAAAACAACATCTCCATGACGACTGCATCAGCTGCCGTTTCGCAAATTCTTATGCTTCCTGATGCAACTCACACACATATTGGTGAAAATGTTCTACAGTACGTCAAAACTCACTTGAGTGGAGTTTCGATTACAACATTTCAAATGTGAGTTGTCAGTTTTATATACTTTTTTTTTTTGTTATCTGTAGCTTGTGGACCCTAATAGACCTACCTAGAATAAAGATCTAATAAATCAATGTTCTCGGTATACTGTAACCTTATAGTACGCTGAAGCTTTTTGCACAATTATGCAGCTGATAAAGGTTTATATTAATCTTTGTCTTACCTAGAGGGAAGAAATAGACAAAAACAAAAACAAGCAAAAACAAGCTCCAGCTCCATAGAAAAAAAATAAAAAACGCCCAAAAGACGAGAAAAAGGGAAACAGTTTACACATCCACCCACAACAGCTTGTCAGACTTGTAATTTCTCTATTATTCATCGCTCAGCAAAAACCATCAGAGTCATGCTGAAAGAATTAAATATATAACTTGTTAAACGATGAGCTCTAATGCTCTGCAACTTCAGATTAGAAAATAAAATTTATTTCACAGCATAAAGTAAAATTAAAAACTTTGCTTTCAAAATATGTCAACTATTCATCCCACTGAGCCTGATAAAAATAATAAACTCTTTATTCCAGCTGTGCTGTTACACACACGAGTATTTGAGCAAGCAGAGATGCTACTCTACCTTCTCTGGGTCTCTGGTGCATTATCAGAAGCCTTGACAGTCAGCGCGTAGGATCGCCCCACGGTTAATGTGACACCAGGACCCACGGTGATGCGCCCGGTGAAGTTATTAATGCTGAAGTCTCCTTGGGCCCCAGCCAGTATCTCATATGTTACCAGACCATTTAGACCCTCATCAGCATCTGCTGCAGATAACTGAGAGGACAAAAAAAGGAAACAAAAACACATCAAACCAACATGTCAGCATTTTCTTCTGAAATATAGCAGATTCACAGCTAACATGATTACCCAACCAACAGAGTAGACATTTTTTCCCAATAGGGTGTTGTGACAGATTTCAGTCAGTTGCAATAATTTCACTGCACTAATAATATTATGATGATGATGATGATGATGATTATTATTATTATTAATGGATACATGGCACTCAGTGGTGGCCACAGATAATTTTCATGGGGTCGCCAGATGAGGCCAGAGAAATTTTTGGCAGTGGCACACCAGGTTGGTCAGTGTGGTAACTCTGTTAGCCAGTGGTGATGCACTGCATGCTCCTTTATTCTTTTTCATTACAAGAACAATATGTATCCATCACAGTTTTTCGGAAAAAGACATTTCAAACTGTTATTTGGAATGGTGATTAATTACAACGGAGAAGTTTTATATATATATATATATATATATATATATATATATATATAAATATATACATACAGGGTTTCCCCCAGCGCTTTATAAGCCTGGCGACTCACCAGGCTTTGCTTGCCCACCCGCCAGGCTAAGCGTCATGCCCCGCCCCCCTCCCCGACCCTACCGTGTCCACTGACACGAACGGCGCAATGAAACTAGAGCCCTCCATCAGCTGATACTGGTGAGAAACAACAGTGGAATATGTGCAACCACCCCAACCCCACCCCTGCTCTCACGGAGGAGCGCTGTGGGACGGAGCACGCGACCCCCTCATAATCTCATTTTCTCCGTTGTGTTTTCCCTCCATCTAGATAATAACGCACACCGAGCAAAAGGGAGCAGGTGTATCATGGCATAAACATCCCTGCGTCACTGAAAGAAATTCAGATGAGCCACAGAGCTGCGTGTGTTAACGGGATGGTAGTTGAAACTCCCGCTGACTTTATTTGCCAAATGCAGGAAGGGCCAAAGTGTGTGACGGCTGCAGAACCAGAGATCTCAGGTTCAGCTTGTGTCCTGTCTTAATGAGGTGAAGTCTTGGCTAATGGCCAACTATCTACATCTGAATGAGGGAAATACAGAGCTCATTGTTTTTCACCCCAACAGCAGGGCTGTGGGTCGTTATGTTGATCTTGGCCCTCTTTCTCCCTACTCAAAACCAGTTGTTACCAGTTTGGGGGTGAAACTTGATGCTGGACTTAACTTTGATGCTCACATCAATTCTGTGATCCGGTCCAGTTTCTTTCACCTGAGACGCCTTGCAAAAATCAAGCCCATGCTGTCAAGAGCCCACCTGGAGCGGGTACTGCATGCTTTTGTAATTTCTAGGCTTGACTACTGCAACTCTCTCTATGCAGGGTTGTGTCAGTCAACACTGCGTCGCCTACAGGTTGTGCAGAACAGCACAGCCAGGTTCCTGACTGGGACCAGGAAACGGGACCACATCAGTCCGGTTCTGGCCTCCCTGCACTGGCTTCCGGTTTGCTATCGCTCACAATTCAAAATCCTCGTCTTTGTTTACAATTTCTTCCAGGGTGGTGCTCCCCCCTATCTAGCCACACTCCTGAACAGACATTCCCCATCACGCGCTCTGCGCTCCTCTGACCAAGGCCTGCTCGCTGTCCCTCGTTCTAGGTGTCGTACTCGCGGGGACCGGGCTTTCTCAGTCCTAGCACCGTCACTCTGGAACCAGTTGCCACCCTCAGTTAGGCTGTCCCCATCTCTGCCAGTCTTTAAGAGTCGCCGAAAAACACACCTCCTCCGCTTGGCGTTTCCAGAACATGTTTGATTGTGGCCTTCTTTTATGTTGTATTTATTTCACAGTTTTCATTGGTTCACTCTATCCATTGTTTTACACATTTGTCCTGTACCAGAATGTTTCACCTATTTTGTAATTTGTATTTTGCAATTTTAATTGCTTTTATTTTTGATTTATTCATTATATTTACCTTCTACTGTACAATGTTCAGTGCTTTGGGCTTCCTGACAGGGTTGCGGAAAGCGTTTATGATTGGTCAGTTCTCATGCACATGCAGGCTATTGTTCTCTTTCCTTACTCCCAGAAGAAGAAGAAGAAGAAAATATCATTTCTATAGCGCCTCTCAAGATAAAAATCACGAGGCGCTTCTTATGTGTAAGAAGAACGGTTCAGAGCGCAAATGGTTTCTTTGTTACTAAACTGCAGGGAGTATCTACAAGAAAGTTCTACAGAAAGTTGCAAAGGGTCCTCAGAAATGTTGCTAGGTTTGTCGCTAGGCGTTTATTGGAAAAAAAGGTCATTGAGTAGGGTCAAAAAGTCGCCTAGTTGGCAACACTGGACTCACTTCTTACATCAGGAGGAATCTACATTTTCTAGTGTTATCCCTTCTTTCATAATCCATTGTCAAAATGTGAGCGGGAGAATATTTTCAGGTTCACGTCTCTTAACAGCAGCCCAAAACGATCTCCTAATACATGGATTTTCTGCTTCCTGATCATGTGACGTGTGACATACGCGGGTTAAGATCAGGGTTATGGGCTCGACACACAGGAGGCGACAAACGATCAGCGAAATTCGTCACTGATGCTTTTATTAACTGACACACGGGGGGCGACCTGCGGCAGCGGCCAGCAGCAAAGCCATTGACGTGTTCTGTTCCATGGCAAAATTGAAACTTCCGTTGTTTTGATTGGCTGTGTCAGGTTGAAGGGAATTAAGGTTATTTAAGCGGTTCAGAGTTAAAAAAGCGGTAGATATGATGTTTCACAAGGTGCTGCTAGAGTTATGTGAAATCTTACTTCTGATTTTACTATAGAAAACATAATAATAATCAACTTCTCCTCCATGTTTACTCGGAGATGTACGGAGCATCCTGTCCGCTCAATGGCCAGTGAATGAAACCTCTGTTGATTGGTCCTCGTCCGAGCAACAGCGATGAAAAGTTGAAAATATTTCAACATTCTGGGATCACGTTGCTGGGTCGCCTGTGCATGACACGTGCACGAGTGCAAAACTTCACACCCACATTTTTCGCATTTCGCTTGGTAGGAGGGAGACCCGCGATTATCGCTTTGTCGCGCACGTCTCATTGAAAATGAATGGAGGAGAGGCGATGTCGCCTCCCGTGTGTCGAGCCCATTAGAGCTGTGATGTTTGTTCTCATGATGTGGGGGCTCGGTCCGATGCCCGCCCAGTAAAAAATACAAACGACAACTTTAGTTGTCAATGGTAGTGAACAATTGGGTAAAAAATGACGACTTTAGTGACTCTTTTATTATATTTCTCAGGTTTTTTTTTGGGGGGGGGGGTCTAGGGCCACCCCCTGGGCACCATTGTTTCATTGAGGAACAAGCTTTAGGGGTTTAGGGGAGAAATACTGTTATCACAAACAAAACAAGTGATTTCAGATTGCTGGGCTTCAAATGCAAAATAATATATTGGAAAATTTAACGTAAGTTTACCTAACAAATAAAAGTCACATCCTCTAAACACATTTCTATAAATATACATAAAAAACTGCATTTCATTTAATCCAATGATTCAGGGCATCCTGCTGCTTGTAATTATAAGCCCTTGCGGTGTAGTTGACCTCATATATTTAAGGCTTTGAAACTTTAATCCGAGTTCCCCCAACCTCCTTTTTCATGCTACTGACAGAAGAGTAAAAAAAAAAGTTGTAGCATCAAATAAGCTGCAGCATTCTCAAGGGGACTCCTGCTCCGATAAATGGCTTATAAAATCGGTTAGGCGGTCATAGCAGACACTCTGTAACCCCTGGCCTTATTTCTGAGAGGGTGGAATGGTTGGTTTTTTTTAAACCGATTAAACTTGACCTTTTCAGTATCTGACATTTTTTGGAGAGGCTGTGCCGCAAGAAGAGAAAAAATATATAAACTCTCTACTGACAGAGATATAGAAACTATTGACCTCATCATTTGTAGAAAAACGTGTTTTAGATTTACAGTCTGAAAACAACCTGTGTGTTTATACGCATGCACAGATTCATGTCTGAGCTTATGTGAACTCTGTGTGTGAATAAGTATCCAAACAACCAAATTAAAACAATGGCCCCGATCCAACTTAGTAAATAATATGAAAACAATCCTGATTTTCAATCCAAATCCTTTCCACGGAACAGGAATAATTGATAACGGTTATCGCAAATCCCTTCCATGCGTTCACAGGGCTGCGCGCTGCTGACACTGGAGATAAAAACACTTTTTCTTTGACTCGACTGTACAAGTGCAGAAATGGAAAAGGGAAATGTTCCCGTGGTTTGGCTGTCAACACAATGTGCTGGATTGTTGTGGTTATTTTTACTGAGCATGAAAGAGCATTTGACAGAGAAAATCAGTGTGATGGGGACAAAGACGGAGGTGCAGTGCTGAGGATCGGAGCAAGAAGCTGAAAGAAGAGGAGAAATGCAGGACTGCAGGATTGATTACCTGTAGCACCGTCTCCCCCGGCTGCATGTTTGTAAAGACTTGAACGCTGTAGGAAACCTGAGCAAATGTAGGTGTATTGTCATTGGCATCGATAACCAGGATGTTGACAGTTACTGGGCTACTCTGCTGGACGCCATCTGACGCCACCAACTGTAAACACAAGACAGAAGAAGCACTTTATGTGACTTTAGAAGATGTGTCAACAAAGCCCACTTGTTCAAAAGAATTACAAATCACAAAGCTTTGAAAGTATTATGGCTTTGATGAGCGACAGTGGCATCACTTGAACTTTGCGTCTTCATGTGTGCTCATTTTCCATTCCATCAAAGTGAAATAAAAGACAGATATAGATGAGAAGAGAGTGCTAGAACAAATTTTGCCTCAAGGACAGTTTTCAGACAAAGCAAAATACATGTTTACTTGTTCGTGGCAGCTCTGATCTCCAGCGATTGGGAGAGAGAGTAAAGAACCGTGCCAACAACTTTGACAAAAGCCTGAATCACACGTTTCTGTACAAATGACCATTAAAGTATACATTACAAGTGTTGCAGATTAGAGTATATATTATATACCTGTTGCAGCAACACAATCAGCACAGTAAATACATTTGACAGAAACATGTTTCCGTATTACAACCTGTTGCTCATGCAGACCAAAATAAATAATTTTCAAACAATTTACTAAAAATCGGACTGCATCAAAAACACATTTACCCACATTTACCCATATATGGGACGAAGCCAATGTAAATGATGTCAAGCAGGCTTCTCATGCCTTTAATCATCCCTGACACACAAAAATGATACAAAAACAAACCTGACATAAGCACAAACTGAAGCTAATCTCTATGAAATGCTGATGTTTACTCCTTCAAGTCCACTGCACTTACGATAAACAGGAAGGCAATTTGAAGCCAGCATTCATGCAACGGTTTCTTCATGTTAGCATTAAACAAATTCTTATCTTCATCAAAGTAACACAGCATCATTCACAGCTTTTATCAGCCACTTTGTAAACATTATGCTAACAAGAAAAGACAACAAGACTTGCTAGAAGCTGATAAGGTCCAAATCTTTCAATAAAAGCGGACGACTCACTTTTCTTCTGGAGTTGTACTGACTTATTCTTTTGACTGTTGAGCTGGTCACTTAGCATTTAGCCAGACATTATGTAAAAACGTAATGTAAAAAATGATCTAACAAGATAAAAAAGGGTTAGTGTTGCACTCACTTGTGACTGAAATGATCTGATGCACAGTCTGAGCAAACAGCTTGGTGGATTAACTCACAATTATAGTTGGTGTGAAAGTTGTGTGAATGAGACATTCAGCTAAAATACAACCCAATTAGACTGCTGGTTAGTTTAAATCACATTATAAAAATAAACAAGCCGTTCTAAGATTTAGCACAAAACTATGTACACAAGCTACCTGCATCAATTAGGACCTTGTTTCCAATTAGATCAAAATCTGTGTTTACCTATTAATGCATGTGAGACAAGTCTGCAAATGTTAAACCTGCCAACGTAAACATTAATTAGGAGAATAAACAAGCACTGTTCCTGAAAAAATGCTGCTAGAACTAAAGGAGGAATCATGACCTCAAAATACCTTTATGAACACATGGCAGTTTTACGGTGGTCCCCGTAGTGATTTGTTTTTGCGCTTAGTGATTTTTTGTTGCATTTAGTGAATTTGTTTTTGTGCTTTTCAATTTGTTATGCATTTTGTGATTTATTTTTGCATTAAGTGATTTGTTGTTGCATGTTTCAATTTGTTGTTGCGTTAAGTGATTTGTTTTTGTGGTTTGCACTTCAGGGCCACCGTACAGTTTATTAGGAAAAGGGATAGAAATTGTGTGATATAACCACAACGTTATGCAGGTTATTGATGCGTGAAACATTGGCATTAAAATAATATGCCTGGACCACAGGGTTGGTGCATGCATTATGTACATTTTAGTGCCTGAGAAGCTATTATTGAAATAATATCTGAGAAGACAATAATAATAATAATAAGCAGTATTCATAGAGCACTAGGTTACTGTATTGAATCATTCACAAATACAATTTCGAAAATGTTTAGTGGAATCTGCAACAAGAATTAGTTTCTCTGTGGGGACTTCAACATTGATTTGAAATTACAATTTATCAAATGACTGTAAATTCCATGCATCTACTTGGTCTGTTTCCACTGATAACCAAACCCACAAGAATTACTGTGCAAAGCTCAACAATTAACATATGTTTTGGGGGGTTGGGGAGTGTTGGAATCATAATGACTGATATTAGTGATCATGTGCGAGTTTTCACACGCTACAAGAACGATCACATTAGACATCAACCTCAAATGGAAAATGTTATAAGGGACCGGTCACAAAAAGCCATAGACTCATTTAATAGAGCCCTAGAACAACAAAACTGGGATAAATGATGTAAACGTGGCTTACATCTTGTTTATAAGAATATTGTGCAGTCAATACGAAAAGAAACTGTAAAATTAAAACAATTACAAAAAAAGATAATAAGAATAAACCATGGTTGACAAAAGGACTGCAAAATGCCTGCAAGAAAAAAAAGCCCTAAACACAAGATTTTTAAAACAGAGAACCAGCGAAGCTATGCACAGATACAATAAAATATAAGAATAAATTAGTTTCAATAATAAAAAGACAAAAAAATGTTATTATAGCAATCTACTAGAAAATAAACAATATAAAGGCAACTTAGGGAATAATAAATAATGTTATAAAAAGAAATAAATCTGTTTCAACTGTTCCGAATTATTTTTTAAATGAAGACACTGAAATAAACGATCCAACCAAAATTGTCAATTAATTTAATTAATTCTTCACTAAGGTGAGACCAAGCTTGGCAAACAAAATTCCAGAAAGAACTAATTATAGCATAGGCAAAAAAATTACAAGTAACAAAAATGGCATGTTATAAAATCCAGTGACTAATGAAGAAATAAGAGAAATTGTAAAAAATAAACAACTCATCAATAAAAGAAAAACTGACTGTGGCAATTTCGACATAATAATAATAAAAAAATATAATAGGGAATATTATCCATCCATTTACTTATATATGCAACTTATCCTTTACAACCGGCATATTTCCTACCAAAATGAAAATGGCTAAAGTCATTCCACTTCACAAAAGTAGAGATAAACATATCTTCTACAAATACCGACCTATATCCCTTCTGTCACAGTTCTCAAAAATATTAGAAAAACTATATATTACCAGACTGGGCGCATTCCTGAACCAAGAGAATATTTTTAAATGACAGTCAGTATAGGTTTACACCAAATCGCTCAACTTCAATGGCATAAATAAAATAACAGAAGAAATATCAGAAGCCATTGACAAAAAGAACCATTTGATAAGTATCTTCATTGACCTAAAAAAAACATTCGATACAGTAGATCATGACATTCTTCTAAAAAAACTTTGTAAATATGGCATTACAGGAACAGCCCTATAACGAGTTATTTACATGACAGGATGTTCAAATAAACAACATCAAATCCAACATCAAATCCAATCTTGATAATATTACTTGTGGAGTACCACAAGGGTTGGTATTAGGCCCAAACTATTTATTATTTATATAAATGATATATAAATGATATTGTCTCTGTAAATAAACTTAAAAAATAAAACAAATAAAACAACATTGTCAGCCTGCATTTAATGGCGAACATGACGGTTCCTGGGAGCTCTAGTGTTAAGTAGTTGCAATCACATTTCCCAATGATTCTATGATCACTGGTCATTAATGAAATTATTTATAAATGCAGGATGAAAAATAATAATTATAATGTTAGATTTACAGATGTAAAACATATAAACTGGATGTAAAAAGCTGTATAAGTATCCAAATTTAAAACATGTTAAAGAAAAATCTAACAAGATTCAGAGATCACAATGAAGGTTTGCGGCAGATACCTGGGACAAAGGGACTGATGACACTTGGCAAGAATGTTTTCACAACAAATGCTGAATGAAGAAATCCTCTACAGTTGGAAGTGCAATGCAGCATTGAACAGTTACCCCACACTGACAGCTTCTACTGTAATGTGTTGTCAAGGATCTACTGCATGAAAGCTGTCTGAGCTCAAACACTTACCAGTGCTTAAGCTCAGAACACTTCAAAACACAGAGAACTTTGCTGGCTAAACAAACCTGTGAACAGAGTAAAAACTGTGAGCACACACACACACACACACACACACACACACACACACACACGCACACGCACGCGCGCGCGCGCACACACACACACACACGCACACGCACACACATTAAACATTATGCACCTCTATAAATGGCTGAAGTCCAAAACACTTCTATCAAGCAAAACAAACCCTGTATTACATCAAAACCTGCAGCGGACAAAATCATTTGTGCAACAGTCCAGGTTGCTTTCCCCTTAAGCAATACAGAATCAGCAACGTTTAGTAAACCTGGTTACAAATTACACATACTATACATATACATGCTTCTCAACCAGCTAGGGGGATGTTAGTTTGACTGCTTTCAGTAAACAAAAGAGAGACTTTTGGCAGTTTCACATCTGGGCCAGCACGGACCAGACTGGGTAGCTTATGCAGTGTTCACATCTAGGTAGCCTTGTATTTTTCTGTGCTCAAGCAGTCGGTTTTTCAGCCAAGGCTGTCTGCTTTGGGCCGGCTCAAATTCACGTCTACCTTTAAGGGTAGCCTCCGTTTGGCGGATAGAACCAACCAGCAGGGGATTCCCGCATGTGAGACTCATTATCATTCTGGATACTGAGAAGTAAACGTTGCCTCTGACTGAAGTTGAGGCAGATCTCCGTTTCTCTTTCTCACTGCTTTGAGGAGCACACACACGTGCGCTCACAGCCACTTTTGTTTAAGGAAGACACCACTGACTTTTCTGCACGTCTATTGCCCCACCCACATGCTCGGAGATTTTCTCATTCCTGAGAAGCGTGTATGAACAAACCCTAGAGGTGTGGGACCCGGACCGACGCCACCCGCCCAGTCCGTGCTGGCCCAGATGCAAAACTGTCAATAGTTACAGTTTGCAATTGAAGCACCTTCTTCATTGCTTACAGGTTTATAGAGCCAGTAAATGAAAAAAAAAATTCTTGTAAATAGACTTTGCAATTATGTCCTAATACCTTGGTGAGTCTCATGTCAGACTAGGGCTGGGCAATGAATCGAAAATGTATCGTTATTGAAATTTATCAAGAACTTTTCCCATGTCAATAAATTTGATAATAAAAAAAAAGAAAAGACGTGTGTGGGTTAGCAACGTTCATGTCCCTTTAAGAAGCTGTACCACCTTGAGCCACGTAAAAATGTGACTCAACGTAATACATGTGACAGCCCCATCTAGTGGGCAACTTTGTCTCTGCGTATACCTGTAGTTATTGTCTATTTATCGTTATCGGGGTGAAATCCTCAAAACATGGTGATATTGATTTTAGGCCACATCGCCCAGCCCTATGTCAGACTTTAGTGAGCAGAGTTCCTGAAGGACGGTAAAGGCAAAAGTCTATTTGTAGCCGATCTAGTGACATACACAGAACTTAAACTGTGCTTAGGAGCCAGTGGCATAAGGCCCAATGACAAATGTCTACTGTGCTATTTGTCAAATGAGAAAATATCTAGATTTTCCAAAACAAGATGATTTTAGTTAAAATCTCTGGCAGGAAAGACATTTATTCTATGCATTTCCTCAAGGAATGCAAGGCCTTTGATTAAAAGTAAGCTGTTGCCAAACCAATTACATTTTCATTTGAGAAGGATATTCAACATAAAGCCTGGAAAATACAAAAGGTTCTTTGAATCATTTTCTATCAGATAGTTGGACATTTATTAGAAACTATAAACACATTTTTGGATGACACATCATTATTAGGCAAGGCAAGGCAGCTTTATTTTTAGAGCACATTTCAAACACAGGCAATTCAATGTGCTTTACAATTATCAGGACATGACATGAAAACACATAAAAACACAAATTAAAATACACACAAATGGAATTATAGCTTAGAGCTAAAGGAGAAGACGCATGATAAGAAACAATTTTATAGGCTGATTGTCATGAACAGAACTCAGAAGGACCCGTAATGACACCAAACACTGTAAAGCACCTTTAAAAGTCTTTATTTGATGTGGAGTTACCAGAGGTGGGCAAGGCTGAGGCAGGGTCAGGAGGAAGCATGGGTCAAAACCAGAGAGATCCGTGAATGCTACAAGGGGCAGGCAGGAGGCAGAACACAGAGAATGGTCCGAAGGTTGAGAATCAGGGGGTCAGAAGCAGAGAACAATCCAGGCAGGAACAAGGTCAGGATCTATGATTCAGACAGAGGTAAGGAGTCCTGGAGAATTTACTGGGGTGAGCTTTAATAATCTGGCACTGAATGACTGGATGGCTGGTTCTTTTGTAGCAGAGAAAACAGGTGTGAGTGATGAGCTGAGGAGTCAGAAGCAGGTGAAGTGGATGAAGCTGATTGTGGTAGTCAGGGAAACAGGGGTTGGCTGGGGCTTGATGATGAGACCAGGTGTGCTGCATGAAGGCTGAGGAGGGGGAAGGATTGGGAGTCAGGAGCGGGGGCCGATGGGCCCTTGGAGGGCAGCGGTGACAACGCAGAAACCGGAGGGCCCTTGGGGGCCGGCGAAGACTGACCAGGGACCAGGAGACTTTGGGGAGCCGGCAATGTGGAACCAGGGACCAGGAGACCATGGGGGGCCCGCAGCAATGAGGCAGTGGCCAGAGGGCCCTTGGGGGCTGGCAGCGGCGGGCGAGGACAGGGATGGTGGTGACTGTAGGCGCTGACTTGAGCGGAGGTGCTGAAGACGCTGACCTGGCTGGAGGCGCCGGACCTGGTGCCGACTTGGCTGGAGGCGCCAACTTGGCTGGAGGCGGCACCGCCAGAGCCAGAATCCCTGGAGGCGGGTCCGCCGACTTGGCTGGAGGCGGGACCGCCGGAACCAGAATCCCTGGAGGCGGGTCCGCCGATTTGGCTGGAAGCGCTGACTTGGCTGGAGGCGGAGCCGCTGACTTGAGTGGAGGCGGAGCCGCTGCAGGAGGAGGCGCCGCCTTGACTCTAATTTGCTCTTGGAATCTCAGGATGTGGACAGCCTTATTCACAGCCTAAACAGTCTCTATGAATCCATTTTGGACGAGGTTGTTCCTTTTAAATCAAACCTGGTACCTCGGGAATTGTTTTGTCCATGGATAAATGACAGCATTCAGAACATGAAAAGACTGTGCAGGAAAACCGAACGCCTGTGGAAGTCTACTAAACTTGAGGTCCATAGGCTGCACCTTATGTCTTCTTTAAATGAATTGATAAAAAAAGACCAGGTCTGACTACTTCCGTCAGCTGATTATCCGAAACAAGAAAAAAAACACAAGTTTTATTTGACACCATCAGCTCTATTGTAGGTCCTGCTGCTCCTCTTACACCTGTTTTTAACAAAGCTGATGCTAACAAATTTCTTAATTACTTTGTTGACAAAATTCTGGATATTAAGAACAAACTTTCTTCATTCCTGTCATGTAATGATGATGCTGATGTACCGGCAGCTCATTTGTGGACCTCTTTTTCACCTGTAACACAGGATGATATTTTAGCCTTGGTAACCACAATGAATCCTTCTTTTTGTCTGTCTGATGTTTTATCATGTAAACTCCTATTAAAAGTGTTTGATGCCATTGGTCCTTGGGTTACCAAACTGATGAATCTGTCACTTTCTTCTGTTTTTCCCACTTGCTTTAAACATGCTTTTGTGGAACCTCTTTTCAAAAAATCTAATTTGGACCCAGCAGATCCTAAAAATTTTAGACCAATATCAAAACTCCCATTCTTGTCTAAAGTTTTAGAGAAAGTGGTCTCTGAACAACTGGTATCTTTCTTACAGGATCACAATGTTTGTGACAGGTTCCAGTCCGGTTTCCGTAAGTACCACTCTACGGAAACTGCGCTGCTTAAAGTATCCAATGATATTCTGATGTCCACAGACACTGGGAAATGCACTGTGCTAGTCCTGTTAGACCTCATCTGCATTTGACGTGGTCAACCATGAGATCATGTTGAGTAGACTCCGAGATTTGGTTGGGATGTCAGGTCCAGTCCTGGCATGGTTTTCATCCTATTTATCGAGTAGAAGCCGGAGTTTCTAAGTCAACCAGATCTTGTCCGACTCAACTGAATTGTTGTGTGGAGTACCCCAGGGCTCTGTTTTGGGCCTGGTTTTGTTCTTGCTTTACATTCTTCCTTTAGGAAAGTTAATGCAGGAGTTTGCCCTCTGAGGTTCAAAAATTGAATTCCTTATTGACTTGCCTCGAGCGCATCAAACAGTAGCTCAGTGAAAAAGCCCTACAGCTGAATTCAGACAAAACTGAAGCACTGGTGATTGCCCCTGATAATGCTATTCCAGGGATTCACCAGCACGTAGGTGATTTGAGCTTGTCCGTTAAACCAAGCCTTAGAAATCTTGGTGTTTTCTTTGACAAAGGAATGTCTCTTGAGCATCACTCAAAGCAGTTGTCTAGAAATTGTTTTTACCATTTGAGAAAAATTTCCAAACTCAGAACCATGGTATCCAAAAATGATCTTGAGTTTATTATTCACACCTTTGTAACGTCCCGTTTAGACTACTGTAACAGTTTATTTTCTTGTCTAAACAAAAAAGAGCTGTCCCGCTTACAACAAGTTCAAAACTGTGCAGCTAGAATACTGACCCATGCCAACAGAAGAGCTCACATTACCCCCATTCTAAAAGCTCTTCATTGGCTCCCAATTTCTTCTCACATCAATTTTAAAATTCTTGTGCTGATTTTCAGAGCGCTGCATGGTCAGGCTCCACTGTACGTTTCAGACATGTTCTGCCCTTACATGCCTTCTCGGAGGTTGAGATATTTGGATCAAAATCTTCTTATGGCCCCCCATACTCGATTCAAGACACAAGGAGATCGCTCATTCCAGGCCATCGCACCAAGGCTCTGGAATGAGTTACCTCTGTTCTTACGTTCACTCGACTCAGTTGATGCTTTAAAGGGCAATTTGAAAACCCATTTGAGAAAGAAAGAAAGAAAGAAAGAAAGAAAGAAAGAAAGAAAGAAAGAAAGAAAGAAAGAAAGAAAGAAAGAAAGAAAGAAAGAAAGAAAGAAAGAAAGAAAGAAAGAAAGAAAGAACATGATGGAGTTTATAACAACGCCTTGTTGAGTGTCAAAGTTTTGGCTACTTGTACAAGTATTTCCAAGTCCCTCTTGGTTTGCTACTAAGCTATGACTCCTGTTAACATTTACTAAATGAGATGTTTGTCACAGAACTTGAGGGCTACTCTCAGGACACCAACAATGCTTTGAAGACTCACTGTGAAAGTGTAGGCCATTTTCGTCTCTCGGTCCACGGGTTTGAGGAGCTTCAGGTAGCGGATTATCCCAGTTGGGGTCAGGCTGAAGATGGCAGTAAAGTCACCAACGGTAATCTGCACCATGGGGTCCTTCGTCTTCGAAAGGAAAAATAAACCAAAAAAAAAAAAGAAAAGTGTAACTATCTCCGCATTGATGTCTCATCATATTTCTTTCCCAAAGGGCACAGCTGTAGGGCTGAGAAAACCTATCAAATAGAACATTTTGATGCACAGGGAAGTTGGAAAAGTAATCTCCTGGCAGGTGTCATCTGTCTTTAGAATTTTTGGGAAAATACGCAGAAGACAGAACTATTAAATTATATATTTATAGCTTGATTTAACAAATTAAGCAATTTCTATCTAATTTTATGTTGCGTAAAAAGCTAAAGACCTGTTCCTGTTTCTTCATGGGAAACACATTAAGCTGTGAAAGTGTGTGTACAAAGAACAGATAAAAGAAAAATGCATTTAGGAAAATCCATTTACTGAAGAATATGTCAAAACTTCTACCTTAACAAATAAACCTTAAGTCTATTTTAGCCTGTAGCTTCAGGTCTACTTCGATTCCCGTCTATCAATGACTCCTCTTAAGAGAGTTTGGTAAACACCAGGGTTGAGTGGCTTATTGATTTTGTTATCTCTGTCTCCACTTTGATTTGTTAATCTCCTCTGAAAACTGAGTAAAGGTGTATTTTGAAGGATGAACTAAAGGCTGTGATCATTTGTTTGGATTGTGTGTGAGACAGTGTTTTCATTCATCACATTTGGTGTAAGGATTTAAAAAGAGCTCTCTAGTGTTCAGAGGATAAAACACACACACACACACACACACACACACACACACACACACACACACACACACACACACACACACACACACACACACACACACACACACACACACACACATACACACACACACACACACACAGCAGAGTTTGTGAAAACACAGTCCAGGATCTTTTATAGGAATTATATTACCAAGAAAAAGTTCATATAGCCAAGTTTGTGAAAACAAAAATGTTACTCAAAGAGAATAAATGCATGTGTTATCTTTAACAACCAAACAACATCAATCAGAATAGTGAAAACAAAAGAAAATGTTGTGAAACACTCCTCAAACAAAACACACACACACACACACACAAATTAAAATGCATTGTTAGAACACACACTTTAGGCAACAAAAGTCAGTGCATCAGAAATTAATCTATGCACACATACATAACAGCAGGAGACTTGCTTAATAATTGATCAAAAACATTTTTTAATCAAATTCTTAATTTTTCTGTGTTAAAGATGTCTCCAGCAGTGATGAATGGCCTCAGTTTGTTTGTACCTTCTGCAGACTAATGCATGCATTAGCAGCAGGGATGTCCCGAGTCAATTTGCTGGAGGGATACTGCTGATCAACATATTTTAATAGCTCAGGGTTTGCTGTATGCTGCTGATCCACTTCTGATCCTTTCTTAATGGTAACTCGCTCTTTAGGTATGGCAGCTATCTAAAATAGCTCTTTTTAGGAAGTTACTATATCCTAGAGATGGGCAGAGCAACATCAGGAATAAAAAGAGATAAAGAAAATAGCTTTTTTATAAACTTGCATTTCTGTTTAAACACCCACTGGCTGCTTTATAAGGTGCACTTTGCTAGTTCCATGTAGAACCAAAGCTCGCCTTCAGGACTACACTAAATCTAAGTGGCATAGATTCAAAAGGGCAATAGAAATATGCCTTTAACGACCTGATGACATCATGCATTGGTCACAATTACAAAGGGCCCATATAATCGAAAATCCACACTGTTTCCTTTTGAAAAATACTCCCAAGCTCGTTTTTGGCTGCATTCATGTATTTTCCTGTTAACCATTTGGGAGTTTTTTGAAGAAAATATTGAATTTTGACATGACTATTTCAAAAGGTTGTAGCTTGGGAAAGGTTAGAGAAAAAGTTAAACTGTAAAAGAGAAAAATCTTCAGAAGGACCCAAAGTTTGTGTTGGGAGCAAATTCACTCATCAAATGTGCATATACATTTTTAAAGATGTTCCGTCTTATTTTTAAAATGTCCATTATATTTAGACATTTTTAATTTATATTAACATATATAAAGCACTTTTTAAAACTGTAATTTAATATTATATTTTTATAATTATGTGGCACACTTTGACTTCCATATAACGCATCGGCATCTGCTGCTTTTTAGGGATTTTTTAACATTGCTGCTACGTCTGTAACATTAGCAGTGTTTTTACCATCATTTCTACATCCATCATGTCCCAAACACGGTGAAGCAAATGGCAAACCCAACATTTGGAGCTTATTGCAGCACCAGCTGTCTGATGCTGCAGCAGCATCACTCTTTCTGGCTGGATGAGTGAATCTAACCATCATCAGAGAGTCAATATTCTGCTTCCTAATTCGAAGTCAGTCTTGACCAAAGAGCTCAGTCAACAAAGACCAGACCTGCTGGCTATTCTAAGTTTTATCCCTCTAATGTTTGCCCTCCTCATGCTGCGCTCACCTCCTCGTCTCCTCCTCTCCCCAACCGGGAACCTCTCAGCAGGAGGCATTTTTCAAACTCCCAAAACTCCAAAACTTTCAATATAAACACACCCATAAGTGTGGCTCAGCCTGAAGTTACACATCTCCACTATCTTCTGGTGTAAAGTTGTAACTTCATGACGGATCATATTTGTGGCTGTGCCTCGTTAAATTCGGCAATGACGCTTGTCACAATATTGTGACTTTGGCACTTAAAAGGTTCAAACTGCAAATTTTGAATTTTATTTAGAAATTCCTAAAATGGCTTAATGTATTAGTTGTACGTCACTTCATCTTCCTGCTCCCAACATCAGGCCCTGCTCCCCCCGGAAGCTAGTCTCTGGTCTGAAACCTGTCTCCCCTGGTCAGATTAGGAGATGTGGAATAGGCGACAATTCTTATGTAACAGACTTGGTAGTCTAGTGGTTAGAGTGCTGAGCTGGCGTCAAGGCTCACATCACAGTCTCAGCAGTAAGCATTTTCTTGTCTTTTAGCTGCACTTGCCAGTATGGTGTTTACAACCATTTATTGGTAAACTATTGAAAATATAGCACAAATATGTTTGTTTTTTTGCTTTCTTTATTTAGCCAGTGTGAGTCCATGTGAGGTGAGCGAATAAATTAACTAAAACGCTGTTTGGAAATGCAAAGATGTTTAGAGACACAAAATATTTTGCAGGAAATAATCAAGAAAACAAAAAAAATATGAACATGAAATCTGCTTTAGCTGGCTAAATAAATTACTGCCTACACCGGGATTCAAACCCACGTCATCACATGGCAAAACTGAAACGGCAGGCACACGCCTTTACCACTGGACAATAATGGCCCATTCCCACCTGTACCGGGTCGGCCCGGGCTGGGTAGCCCCAGTCGGCCCCAGCCTGGCCCGGTTGATTCCACACATCCTTGCCTTAAGCCCATGTGGGCTGATTCTACCCACCAATCAGAGGCTTGCACTAATGGAAGGTGTGAATTTGCTGTCAGCAGTGGGTGTGTTGGCCCTGGTCGGCCTGAAGCAGACCCCCTCGAAAAGAGGGCTGAGAATGAGCCTTAATTGGCACGGAAAAATACCAGGCCACCCAGATATGTAAACAACCTATGCTACCCGGCCCGGGCCGACCCGGTACAGATGGGAATGGCCCATAATACTGGGCACCAATACAATAACTGACTTGCCTAAGATGCTGTTGTAGGCACATTTTGTCGGAGCGAGCGTGGGCGGAGTTTCACTGAAACAAGCCATTTTATTTCCAGGTATAAATTCATGCTGGTGATGATGACTCGTATTTAAGATAAATGACATCTCAATAGTGCTGACGTGTATTTGACATGTAGTGTATTTGATCATACACTGTGTTATGACAATAACACACTGTGCCTACCTTCGTTCTCAAAGGTTTAAAAGGAACATTTGAATCACTAAACCTGCACAGAATAATATTGTTTAATGTGGAAACATAATTAACGGTTTAAACTTGCCAGAAGGTGCTTAAACTGTAAAATAATTTAAATGTGATATTAGGACAAAAGAAATTGGGTCAGGACATCCCTTTATTGCCTAGTGTATGTGTTTGTCACTTCATCTGAAACCTTCCCCATTACCTACAGGTTTTTGACCAGGAGCCAGCTACAAATGGAAAAAGACAATCAATCAACAAAGAAATTACTGATCAACATGGAGCTTGTTGTTAAAAAATGAAATATATGAAAAAGAGCTAAACAGGTTTAGAATCAGTTTTAGGATGTTCAAACGTGAGCGCATGCATGCACGGAAAATCAAATTTCAGCTGGTAAATGCTTTTAAAAATATTTCTACCTCTTCAATGTCATTATCCAAAGCGATAATTTCCAGAGGCGCGGTGAGGTTGGAGCTGGCAGAAATAGTCGTACCCACTGGGGAGGCTTCACTCACGTAGCCCTGATAGGTAGCAAACTGGAAGTATGGTGCCTGATTGTTCTCATCCAGGATTTCGATAATGAGGTCAGCATATGCTGGGAGGGGGTGACCGTTGTCCTGTTCAGACTGAAAAGAAGAGAAAGTCACAGTGTCAGACACCATAGCGACTACTGGGGTGGAAAGTTCTTGTAGCGACTCAGTTTGCAGATTTATGTGGGGTAAAAAAATATAAATATTTCTCAAAATGTCAATTTGATTAAATAAAAATTCTACTAACAAAATGTAATAAGTGCTCCAGTCAGGATAAGCACTTAGGAAATACTAGAGCATTAAACATAAATACCAATAATTTCCTCAATAGGAAACCTAATTAGTGGCTCTGCTACAATGTCAATGAGTGACCACAGACAGAAGGAAGCTCACAGGGAATATTAAAAGTGGAGCCAAAGCTAGGATTAACCACTTAAATATTGAGTTTAGTATTTCTGGTTCAAAGTATCTCTCCGAGAGTCCGAGAAGTGTTTATTTTGTCTACAATCTCATCACTTACTCACAGAAAAAATATGCCAATAAATCCCTGTGCCACTGTTTTGTGATAGTTTTTTTTTTTCAACGTGGTGTTTGTTTATCCATGAACTGAATTAATTTAAAGAGGAAACAGCTCTTTGAGCATCTATATAGCACATTAAACTTAGTTGGGACACAAAATGGCCCAGGAGCTTTAATATTCGGTCAAACACAATCCCATAATAAATTCCTATGGAAAAAATGGTTTGCCCCACCCACTCCGCCAGGACATGATCATTAAATGAGCTGAATGCCGATTGGCTTGTTTACCCCAATAAAGATGCCTGAACCATTAAAGTCTGTGTACAACAGTGTGTGTGTGTGTGTGGGGGGGGGGGGGGGGGGGGGGGGGGGGCAGATGCACACATCTCTGACATCCATATGTACTGACAGACCAGTATATATGGATGATTACCTCATAATATTCATATAAACACCAATAATAATACTGCGGGTTTAAAGGCTATGAACCACAGACAAAATAAGCAAGAGGTGAAGGTTTGTGCATTTAACAAGAAATGTCATAAATGATCATCAGGGCTGATATGAAATCTAATCCAGATCAGTCCAGGTCAGAATAATCATCTCATCCATCTCATGATCAGCAGCAGCTGGATGTTTATGGCCACAACATTTAAAATGAAGCACACTCCTTTTATGTCTTGTGTTTGCTCACGATCCATATTTCCGTTTAGAAACCATTTCTCCTCAATGGATGCACCTGCCTGTCGGAGCGTTTAACCACTGGTTGGTCAGCTGATGCTGCTCTCAGCCATTGCAGGAATGTGTACGGTGTGGGGAAGCAGTTTTAGTTTCTCTCCTCTGCCTGAGCTGAAGGTGACGCGCGGTGCGCCTCACGGTAGTGATGTGCGTTTTGCGCAAAATGCGGCCCTTCATGGAGCTCGTGCCAGACTGTGGATAACTGATGTTAGAGGATACACAGATATCTTTTCACAAATCTCTGACATTTCGACGAATGAATACCTGGAAAAGTTACCGGTAGGCACTGTACCCTAGAAAAAGTTCCGGTATGCTCAAAGGTTATACTTAGAAGTGGCGGCGGTGCTGGTACCGGTCCAAAGCACTGCTCTCTGTCCCTAAAGGATGAGTCTGATGATCTGATCATGATGATCAGTTCCTGACAGCCGCTGTTTCTCCCTCCCCAACCCACCCCACGCGCCCAGCATTGCGCGATAATTAAACTGGCCCAGAAACTCCACCTTAAACCAGTTCTCCCAACATGACCACATACAGGCCAGCCTAGACATGCATCTGTGGCCAGAGATTTCTTCTTTTTCCATCTCTCCTGTTCTGCTCCACCTTTCCTGGTCCGTCTAGGTCCATTTTGCCTCTGGGGCCAAAGGTGCAGTGGTGCTGTAGCCGCTCTGGGGTGGTGGGTGTCTGTTACGCTTTGCCAGACCCCGACAAAGTGAGAGGAGGGGGTGTCTTTGTACCCAGTTTGCTCCGTTTGTGCGAGCATCAGGACAGCAGATGCCCTGATGAGCTGCATGACGGATTGCTCATTTAGATATTATGCACGTTATGACCGGCAATCACTGAGTGGACCAGTTTAATGGCCAGTCCACCGGGAAATGTCCCGTTTCTTCCGATTACCAGTCCGCCACTGAAGAGATGTGTGTTAACTTAGAAAATGTGGGCCCAATTTGGGCGCAGATCGAACCCGTTCCACCTCCGCACTAAGGCCAGAAAGAAAACAAAATCGGAGGTTAAGCGCTTGAAGCTCCTTTTTCCAATTACATGAATGCAGCATGACGTAAACAAACACCGACTCCAGATGCACATAAGTGGTTGCCGCTAGGATGCAGGATGAAGCGAAAAAGGTAAGCAACGATTACTGTGTATTTTAAAAAGACCAACAGTGTAAGTAGGCGGGACCGATCTGTCTGTTTATGCATGTTGGTTCTAGTTTCAGTACATTGTTGTCAGTGTTGGGACTTACTGTTATAAGCATCAAAGCCTCATTGCTGACTTTAACAAGTCTCATCTACAAATATAATCTCTCATGAAGTTACTACTTTACACCAGAAGATAGGGGAGATGTGTCACCTTCAGGCTGAGCAAAGATTTGGAGATTTGAGTTTGAAAAACACCTCGTGAGAGGCTTGCAGTCGGGGAGAGGAGGAGATGTGCACAACATGAAGAGCGCAAATATTAGAAAAAATGTATAATTGCCGGCAGGTCTGGTCTTTGTTGACTGATAACTTTGTCTGGTCATGACTGACTCTGATTATGAAGCAGAATATTGACTCTGATGAAGAAATTCACTCATCCAGCCGGGACGATTGACGCTGCTGCTGGTGCACGAGGTGTGTGGAGTTTACAAGCTCCAAACGTTGGGTTTGATGTTTGTTTAACTTTCTCTAGGACGTGATGGATATAGAAATGATGGTAAAAACACTGCAAACGTGACAGACGTAGTGACAATGTAAAAAAAAAACTGTTGTAACGGCATGAAGGTTCTCTGATTTGTGCCAAAGGTCACATTTGCCCAGCTGGGTCAAGCTGGGTCAAACAGTACTTTGAATCCACAGATTAAACCCAAGGAGCCACAATGTCTGCTCAAGATCATAACACCAGTATCTGCTGTTCCGTCAGAAGAAGGACACTTCAAGCCATGATGATAATAATTAAATAATAATTAATAAACACATTGATTTTATTACTGTTTAATATAATCATTACAACATGATCACTTGGTTCATTATAAAGGTATCTTAATTACATGAAATGGATTATTATGCTTTGGGTATAATGATGATTAATTATAATGATTATAAAGACGTGTTCAACAGAAGGTCAAGTCACCTTATTCAGCTAACACAGAGTTCAGATAAACAATAACTGCATCACATGTTTTTTTGACGCTTGAGCAAGCTTTCTTCCGGAGAGAGTGGGAGGGGTTCTGAGAGAGTTTGGTAAAACTAACCATCACAGATTTCACGTCCAGTTCTGAACAAGACATCATCCTGAGGAGTCAGGGACGGCCGCCCTGAACCTCTTCAAGCCGTTCTGTCACGCCGACAAGAATGGCTAAAGAACGAACGAAGCTAACGAACTAACAAAAGACTCTCCCAGAGTCATTGATTTCTTAAGTTAAGTTAAATATGATAACGTGCATCTGCCAAACGCTTCATACAGTCGTGTACCCATGACATCTCTGGACCGGACCATCGGACACTTGCGTCTACTCTACCAACCGAAGTGTCACCTTGGATGAAACCCATCCTCCTGATGTCTGGATCCACAAAGGGGGCCCTGTCTGGGTGAGGTAGAACACGACAGATGAAGTTTGAAGCTGTTTTCTCTCAAAATAACTCAGTTATCTGCAAAACATCATTTCACCCAGAACGCTTCCAAGCTCTCTGAAAGAAACCTTCTGAGAACTTCATTCACGCATCCAAAAACTCATCACTCTCATTTTTAGCTCCATTCAGTCACAGGTTTGCTTTTAAACAAGTTGAATATCAAAGCTGTTAAAGATTGCTATTAAAATTGCCATCCATGAATTGTCATTTTATAATTGTCGTTTCAAATTTTCAGTTTAAAAATTGTTAGTAATAAATTTCTTCATTTTTAAACTTGCTTCATTATTGAAACGGAACACAGAAAAGGATTGCATTTCCTTTTATCGAATGAAAAGAATCTTACTGAATCTTCTGTTTAATAAATAAACTTTTGCTATTAATTTAAGTATCTTAAATTAATTTTCACCCCATTACACCGTAAAAAGGGGCAGGTGCCGATGCATTATATATGGAAGTCAAAGTATGCCACATAATCATAAAAAAAGTAAAATATAAAATTTAAAAAGAACTTCATTTGTGTATATATAAATTAAAACATTCCAAATACAGGTGCTGGCCAGTAAATTAGAATATCATCAAAAGGTTGAAAATATTTCAGTAATTCCATTCAAAACGTGAAACTTGTACATTATATTCATGCAATGCACACAGACCAATGTATTTCCGATGTTTATTACGTTTAATTTTGATATTTATAGGTGACAACCAATGAAAACATCAAATCTGGTATCTCAGAAAATTAGAATATTCTAAAGGCCAATGAAAAAATGTTTGTTTCTCTAATGTTGGCCAACTGAAAAGAATGAACATGAAAAGAATGTGCATGTATAGCACTCAATACTTAGTCGGGGCTCCTTTTGCCTCAATAACTGCAGTAATGCGGCGTGGCATGGACTCGATCAGTCTGTGGCACTGCTCAGGTGTTATGAGAGCCCAGGTTGCTCTGAAAGTCGTCTTCAGCTCCTCTGCATTGTTGGGTCTAGCGTATTGCATCCTCCGCTTCACAATACCCCATAGATTTTCTATGGGGTTAAGGTCAGGCGAGTTTGCTGGCCAATCAAGGACAGGGATACCATGGTCCTTGAACCAGGTGCTGGTGGTTTTGGCACTGTGTGCAGGTGCCAAGTCCTGTTGAAAGGTGAAGTCTGCATCCCCATAAAGTTGGTCAGCAGCAGGAAGCATGAAGTGCTCTAAAACTTCCTGGTAGACGGCTGCATTGACCCTGGACCTCAG